CGAAGCACTGATTGACAAAACAATATATACAACGTCAGGATTTACTTTATTGGCATCATTTGGCCTAAAGTTCTCAATGTAAAAAGGATCAACTCTAAAGCAGCAATATAGATAGATGGATGCAAAACACAAAGATCAATCACAACGAGGTTCCACCAAAGCAGGCACTTTCTTAGTCCTTGGTCCAATCATTGTGTGTTTGTCTTGGTGCATTGATACCATGTCACGATACCCAGCATGGGTGTCCCAACACCACGTGCAGGTACCTATACAGGTGAACCAAATATGTGAACACACTGCAGATACCACAACAATCTTTGTAAATAATAGTTTTAATAGAAATAGCAAACCGCATAAACACAGGATATCCCACCACCACCTTCAAGAGACAAATAAGAACCACAATATATACAAACAGCAAGGGCCACGAGCCACAGATCGGGAGAACTCAGGGGTACAAGTCAGGAGTCAGGGTCCAAGGCAGAAACAGGATACTGGTGACAGGAAATTGGTAACAGGAAACAGGATACTGGTAACAGGTAATGGCAACAATACTGTGACACAGGCCTCACAGCAGGGAGAGGTTAAATACCCTGCCAGGGCAGCACCATGTGGCGACTAATTGCTGGCAGACCCCTGCAGGCGAGCACTGGAACTGCAGGATCAGGTTGCAGCTCCACAGTGCCACCCGGAGGTGCTCTGGTCCTTGATATACCAGCAGTAAGAGGGGCGCTGTCTTAGTGGAAGTCGGTCTCATGCATACGCCTGTCTTTCTATGATATCTTGATAAAAAATGTTGGACTCTAAATTTTATGGCGTGGCACCTTCATTCACCTTCTCGTTCCTGGTTAAAATAAGAGAACAACCTCGATCTAGGACAAATCACCTTGGCAGTGGTACCAGGTTACAGCTTTCCCCGTACATACTGCTTGGTGTTCATTTCGGGCCGGAACAAGATAATGTAGCACTTAGGAAAAAAAAGACAAGCCAACAACCCCGCACTGGAGGCCAGTATCGCAAAGATCTCCACAACCACAATATTCTCCCCCTCTGAGCTCAGGTAGGCCGGGATGAAGCAGATCCACACGCTGAGAAATGCGAACATGCTAAAAGTGATGTATTGTCCTTCGTTAAAACTGTCTGGAAGCTTCCGTGACAAAAACGCCACTATGAAACTTATGGTGGCCAAAAAGCCCATATAGCCCATCATGCAGTAAAAGAAGAGGTTGGAGCCCTCGTTGCATTGCGCGATGATGGTGTCTTCTTTAGAAGTCATGTTTAATTCCGGGTAGGGGGGAGAGGTGCCAAGCCAAAACGCGCAGATGGCCACTTGGAAAAACGGACATACGTATATGACGACATTGGAGATCCTGGAATCAAAACGTTTGCCCATTGAGCCAGGCTTGGTGGACTGGAAGACCAGAATCACGGTTATGGTCTTGGCCAACATGCCGGAGACGACCACCGAGAAGGTAATCCCAAAGATAACCTGCCGAATATAGCAGAGAATGGGGACGGGGTAGCCAATGAAAAGGAGGGTGGAGAGAAAGCAGACCGTGAGGCCCGCAAGGATGGCATAACTGATGTTCCTGTTGTTGGCTTTGACCACCGGAGTCTCTGAGTACTTTCGGAAGATGCACACCACTGAGAGGCTCGTCATTGAGAACGTGACGGAGGCCGCAGCCAAAGAGACACCCATGGTATCCTCGTAGGATAAGAACTGGATCATCTTCATGAGACAACTGTCTTGCTGCTCATTGGGCCATTGGTCGTCAGGACACTTCACACAAGCCGTCGCACCTGAAAATAGTACAGATTTTAAAAACTCAACTTTATTCACATTAAACACATAAAAAATGGACACTGCTCTTGGGGGGAGAGTAGTCCAAGAAAGTGGAAATGTTTCCATGGATTTTTTGTTTTCTGCCATTGAGCAGCAAAATATAGAACCTGAAATAGGGATCGGAAAAGTTTGTGGAGAATATTTTTTTGCATAGGAAATAGGAACGCTCCTTCTGTGGCAATAACTTGTGATCTAAGGATCAGAATGGAAAAATGAATTGGAAATCTACATAAATACTGTATAAAGTGAGGACAATATGGGCAAGTGGGCCTGCCTAAGGTTCCTTCCTGTCTCCAGGTATTCCAGCATGTAAGGACCATGAAGACTTCAACCTTGTTCCATTCCTCAACCTTCTGTCCTCATTTCCCGTTGGTCCTTGCACTGGCAATGGCTAACCCTGGATTGGCAGGTGTAGAGCGGTGATGTTACCCAGCAGTGCAGATGCCTTAGATGTCAAGACTCAGGAGGGTCAGAGGCACCGAGTGCCACATGTAGTGGAGGGTGTGTATAGTTATACATTTTCTATATATGTCTCCCAGCCCCATAGAAGTCTATGGGGTCATATTGCACTTGCATGGACATGAGGATGAAGCAGCCAGCCTGCAGGATCTAAACATTGTGGCTGGTCCTGGTGGTAAGAATTGGGTTAGGGTTATCCCTAAGTAGGGAGCTTTGGGGAGTGGATTACTTCTGCTCAGGAGGGGCACATACTTAGGGAACTTTCTTCAAGAGTTTTCATGCCCTTTAAAGTAGAACTGTGGGCAGGCTATGGACATATTCTTAACATGAAGTAAATAAAATCTTCAAAACAAGCATCCACTGACCTCTGTAACTGCCGACACTGTGGAGTCATTGATCCAGAAAGATTGCAGTAGAAGATTCTCAGATTTACTTACTTGTGTAGCTCTGCCCTCACTCTCAGCAGTGACTCCACAGCTCAGCTCACCCCGCATACCCCTCCCAGCAGTGACTGAGCAGCTCAGCTCAATCTGCCCCCCTCTCCCAGCTGTAACTTGGCATCCCTTTCAGCCCTTTAATCTCTAGTGTAAACAAAGAGCATGTGCACAGGAAGAGGGGAGATAGCAGAGTGCTGAGGCCCAACTTGGATTACTTTATTGCATTTATTGTACTCTATCTCCACAGTGCCTCCGGCTACAGAGGTACAAAGGCCACAGTGAGGGCTTGCTGTAAAGCTTATTTACTGTTTGATAAATAGCAAGCAAATATTTTCATGTCCATAGTCTTGTCCATAGTCCAAGCCGCAGCTGGGAATATTTCATAAGCGCGGTTGCCAAATACGTTGTAATTCCAGTGAGTATTGTCACCTGTTTCGTTGGCCACCTCTCCTAGTGAACACGGGACACACTGGAAGCAGCAAACTGGACGATCTTTGATTGAAACCTTTCTGTGTCCCGGATTACACGTCTCACTGCACACCGAGCGTGGTATCTATAATCAAAGATGAATCACAATGTTCACCAACAGCTCAACTAAAGGTGAAGCAGCAAAGAAACAAGAAATACTCTGAATTCAAGACTTTCATGTCACCAACAATCAGGAATAACTATAAACTATATCACCTTGTAAAGATCAAAAATATCGTAATGTGTCCAATTGTATTATATAGGGATGCACAGATACTTTTAGAGTGCCAGTGCCGATACTTTGGCATTTTCATGAGAACTCCCAGGGTTGCAGCGGTTGCAGCTGGGACCTGGGCTCTGGCGCTCCACCGCTGTCCTGAAATCATTAGTCTGTATTGTTTTATAAAAACTGTCACATGACAATAAACAAAAATGTATCAGTACTCGTACTTGTAAGTACTTAGCAAGTACCAGTACTCACAAAACTGGTATCGGTGCTTCCCTTTATTTATATTTAAAATAACAAAATCATAAATTAAAACAGAGATGTACAAATCCCGGGAGCTCCGTGTGCTTCTTACACATGACAGCTGCCTCCTAATTTTTGAATTTTTCTCTAGTGTAGTCCTGGAGCTCAAAAGTATCGGTACTTGTATTCATACTTGTACCGAGTACTGTACTTGGTATCAGTACAACCCTAGTATTATATTATATTTTGATTGGTAGATACGGAAAAGGATACAGAGTGTCACAAATATAACAAACAGACAAGTCTGTAATATAAACCAACCACGATGAATGTAAGTATGTTAGTGGTCATAATTAAAAGGGACACTCCACCCATAAGTGTATTCTTCTGGAATCTCGGTGAGCTTTGTGTATGTATTCCAGATGTGTGCAGTAATCCAGTGTGAGACTTGGAGCTTCCTGTAATAAAGACCGGTCACTGCTGTTCTCTCTCCTTGTGCAAAGTGACTGGTCTTCTCTTCGCCCCACTCCCATAATATAGAATGGTCACTGCTGCTCTCTCTGCTTGTGCAGGGTGACTGGCCTTGTCTCCTCCCCCTCGTGTAATAAAGAGTAGCTTTCTTTAGTAGGTGGAGCCTACTGGGCCCCTTCCACATTTCTCCTCTCTGCTGGCTATGTACTGCACAGTGATGATGTCACTGCTCATTTGGTGATCACAAAGTGGATTTATATTCTTTGTGGCTACTGAGGGATGTATGCACAAATGAAAGTTTTTGTGCCATACATTTGGCTGCAAAGCATATCTAAAGCCATCTTTTTTGGCTTTACTTTTAGATAGAGTGCAGGTGGGTCTGACCCCCCCATAGAAATTCCTATTTTTATGGTTGTTACTGCAGCAGTAGAGGGGAAATCTTTTAATGAAGACACCCGTTCCTGCAACAATGGTCTGAGACAATTGTCCATCACTTTGTTGTGATTTTCTCTCACCTTCTGGTGTGCTCAGAACAGGAAATAAAGGAAAATATCCACCACGGGATGTAAACAGCAAAAGAAAAAAAAACTATTCCATTCTATCTAAAACTAGAAAATGAAAAGCTTTGGCTTTAGATACACTTCAACCCTCCGGCATCTATAAACACTGAAATATCAGCTTAGGGTAGACCGACCCTTTAAACCTCACCAAGATGAATCTGGAACTTGTCTTTGATCCCCAATAGAAGTGATTTCTACAAATATAAGATAGTATTACCGTGTTATAGGGTAGTGAACTAAGTTACCTGTTTATGTTCCTGGTTCCAGACTACAGAGCCGGTGTCTAGGGTGATCTGTTTATCTGGAGACGCCCGGGAATCATATCTCCCCACTTTGACCAGTTTGTACTCATCATTAGGGAAAATCTGCAGATTCATTATATCAAACATGCCTGGAACCTCGCCGATCTCATTGAAGAACACGTCATCCCCTGACTGAGTCGTGAAGCTGACATTTTTAAGGTGCCGGAAAACCTGGAACAAATATTGAGAAATAAATCCCAAAAGGATCATTTGTAATGACTTTGTGGTCTGCGGAGTAAATGTATTGATGTGTACATTGAAGTGTGGCCCAATGTTTCCTCCTTTGTGTCTTTCATCACACACTATGAAACATCTGCAATGTACACACATACAATGTAGACATATACACAACATATTATTCTCCTGTTACACAATGTATATGTTTTATAAACACAAAGGTATAACCATAAGGTACAAAATATGGGACTTTAAAGGTACCCAAATATCAAAATAAACAAAGTGTATAAAAGTACAGATGTTTATTTCTGCCCCGAGCTGTGCAAATCAAATTGAAGGAATTTTACCCCCTTTACATCTTGTGGGGAGACTTTGTAGCATCATTGTTGAAGCTGTTGTAGAAACTATACAATAATGTTCGATACGATAATTGTCATCTACAATACCATCTTACTAAAGTTCTCTCTCGCCCTCCCTCTCTCTTTCTTCTTCTCCCCCACCCCCCCTCTCTCCTTTCTCTCTCTCTCTTCCCCTCTCTCTCCTCACTCTCTACCCCTCTCTCTCTTCCCCCTTTCCCCCTCTCCCTCTCTCTCCTTCTCTCTTCCTCTCTCCTCTCTCTCTCTCTCTCTCTCTCTCTCTCGCTCACTCGCTGTTTTGATAACTCTGTGTACACATTCAATAATATCCTGTTACTTTAGGGTGTTGATAGGCCAGAACGTATACTTTCTTGTCTCACTGACAGAAAGTCAGAACCATTATGTATCTTTGTTTCCTTGTTTTTTTTTTTTTTAATATCTGGGGAACATGTTGAGAAGTGTCTGCTCCCTCCGCAAGTATCAGCTGGAAAATTAATTGGTAACTTAATTATGTGGCACTACAGTGATTGTATCATCCCAATAGGAGGTTGTAAGATAATTGGAGGTCATGCAGTTGTTCTGTGCATGGATGTAAAAAGTCTAATACGTAATGGCTCACCCGTTTGCATTTTGGAATTTGAAAACTTTTTTTAATCAGAAATAAACATCTGTATTTTTACCCAATTCATTCTGATCAGATAATTTTTATATTTTGGTACCTTTAAAACCCCATATTTTGCATGTGGTTATAATACGTTACAGCTAGGAGGATAGGGTACCTATCACTTACTGTCAACTTTGCTTCATTGCTCTGTAAAGTATAATCTTATTCTGCAGCTCACAATAAACAAAATCATACAAAAGCACATAACCTGACATTACGCACATCTACTGGTGAGTTTCATCTTAAATGCACTGAATTAAAAAAATATGTAAGCCCTAAAGAAATGACCTTTATGTTGATCTGTGTTGTGCGTATCATATACAAATGCTATTTTTCCATGAAATATTGTTTTATTTCTCTTTCATATTGTTCATCCATCTGAGTGCTGATGATATCCTGCAACCTCTTTGTTTGCAGCCACTCCCTGTCTACATTGCACCCCATACATGCCACAAGCAACATTCATAAAAGTTGAACAGATTCTGAAACAACCAGAACTGGAAAACCAACACCGGATACATTCTATGTTGCTTTGATCATTTTTTTTACATTTATTATGTATGATATGGCGTTTGTATCATTACTGGGTTAATAAGGAGTTAATGTTCCTGAACCGGACTAATATTCTGTTTGCTTAAGGTATTTATTTAAGCAACTGTTATGAATCTTCCTTGTTGGCCTGATGAAGGTGTTGTCTGTGACTGAAAACTGTTGCCAAATGAATGTTGTAATGTAACAAGTTTGCTCTATAATACAAAAAAAGAAGTCATCGCTGCATCTGTCCTTAAACTTCTATATATCGGGTTGCTATGGACTAATCCCTGTTGGTGGCACTATATTTGATGTTTAGGTGGGCTTTATGGATCCTGTCCCTGGGTTCAACACTTCCTGCAGAGCTATGCTGTTAGTGACTCTCTTTCTGGTCCCACCAAGCTCACTGATGTCATTGGTTGCCAGGACATATTGGGATGCCAGCCAAAGTTTCCTGCTCGGCTCCCTGGCAACTGTTGGCCTAAGAGAGCTGAGTGAGAACCCGAACAGAGCGTCACAAGTTACTAAGAGCTCTTAGCAACCTGGGACGCTGTGGTAGCCCTTGTGCCGCCCCCTCAATGAGATGTCACTTGAGCTAACCAGCTCAGGCTGCCTCATTATAGGGATTATTCTTATTATTATTATACAGGATTTATATAGCGCCAACAGTGTGCGCAGCCCTTTACAATGTAAGGAAGACATTACAATCACAATTCAATTCAAGACAAGATGGTAAGGAGGGCCCCGCCCATGAGGGCTTACAATCTAAATGGGATGGATAGACCTGTCTGCAGGTAATACAAATTTGCAAGATTCTACTAATGGTATTCACCACTTTGATAAACAAAAAATGAAATGCATACCTTCCAGGGCAGAAGATTTTCCTCATTGCAGCTCCCGGAAGGAAAGCAATCTAAGAGGTTATGAAGTGCGTAAGCAAAGGCGTAGACCGCAATATAAGCCTGGAAGGTGTAGCTTAGATCTCCAAGTTCAAAAAGTGAATCCACCTCATGCAGACTTTCCTCCCCCGTACATATTCTCATACTATCATTTCCAGTGTTTCCAACAGCACTCCATTTGCAGTCAAAGACAATTTCCCAAAACAGCTTTATAAAGATGTCATCTGCATATCTGGATGGATGAAGTTGGCGCAGATAATGGCCAAACTGAGGCATGGGTTCGCTATGCAGAACCAGGCCGATGGAGCCGTTCAGTAATCTGGCGTGACCTTCTGAAAACATCCCGGGAATAAATGTAAAACTCAACGTGTAGATCCAAATTTTGCCCCTTTTCCCATTTTCCAACATCATGTCCAGCAGAGGCTTGACGTGCATCTCCTCACAGTACAAAACGATGGCGACCGCGGTAGAATTCATGACAACTTCCAGGATTTTCTTGACTCTATCAGGGGAGTATCGAAAATGGATCTTCTCCAGGAAAGCCACGCAGCCCTGGTTGAAATTAATGTCATCTTTGAGTTTTTGTCCATCTAGAGCCCCCAAGTCGTCATCTCTGGTCAGGATTCCGACCCAGGTCCACTCCAGATGTTTCAGCAACTGAGAAATGGCTTTGTTCTGGATGTTCTCATTGGGCACCGTGCGGAGGAAGGAGGGGAACTGAATCCTGTCACCCAGATCTGGATCAAAAGCACCAAAACTAATCTAAAAATAATAAATAAATAAATAAAGAGGAGAGCGGCCATAGTAACATGAATAAAGCTTCTGTCAAGATCATGTTGATCTATTCAATCCTAAATCCGTGTTGCCTTAAATTTGTAATGACTAATAAGACTATTACACAAACTACAGATAAAGGAGAATAGTTTTGACATTCATAGCAAGGGGCATCATCATTTCGGATAGGGCACTATAGTTAAAACGTTTTTTTGTCCACCACAGTCCCACTACTACAGAATTTTGAAGCACCCCTGAGGAGGCCAGAAGGCACGCCTGTGTGCAACGGCATCCTGAATAACCCAGCTCTTAGCAACTTGGGATGCACTGGCCGGTGTCATGCCCAGCTCCTGACAACCAGTGACATCACTGGGTGGGACACTGGTCAGAGCCTAGCCAGATTGCAGAGGCCAAACCCTGCACCCCAATCCCCCTCTATGGTAGCATGCACCACCAGCAACCCCCTCCCACCCCCCAAAAAAATGCTAGGGAAGGTATATATATATATATAAGTAAATGATCTCTTTAAACCTGAAGTTTAACCTGCTTATTTTTGGCCTTCTGTGGACCCCCCTCTGATCATTACAAACCTTATTGTAGTCTCAGTGACATCATCATTGGGCTTCTCTATGCAATGCAGGCAGATCATAGCTGGTGGGAGGGGATGGCAGGGGGCTGTACATGAAAACATCACAGCACCTTGCCTCAGTACTCCTCTCAGGAGCCCTCAGTCTTAATGCAAGCAGAGGGCCGACTGTAGGAAGAGGTTATGCAAATTTCAAAATGCCCTAATGGGTGGGTGTCACTCTGGATATAGCTAATGCCAGGGGCACTATAGGTAATACGTGACTGAAAAGACTGACGGGGATCCTAGGGATCATTTGCTGATACAGTTGCACAGATTCATGAGAATTGTACCTGAGGGTAATTGCAGAGACTCATTATCCTGGCAATGGGGATGGACAGAGTTGACATGGAATCTCCAACAATACCAGCTATGAACGGAAGCTTCCAACCTCTGATGGGATCGTAGATCAAGTCCCTCGTCTCCCATAGCAGCATCATGGTGGCTTGAATCGCCCTCGCCTCGGACACACAGGAATCGAATATATCAAAACCCAAAGTCAGGTTGGGCAGGAGGCTCCCACTGTGATTGATCTCCTCTATGGCAAATATTACAGCCAGAACATCGCGATAATACCTGATGACAAATCTGTTGAAGAAAACGTTATACTGAGTATCCATTTTAACATTTTAATATACAAAGTGACAGAAAGTATATCAGCAATTCATAAAAGAAGCCTACTGTGTTAACTAGATCCAAACCCAGCAGGGAGCAGGGGCAGGAACAGTCAGGCCAGGTAGGAAAGTGCTAGATGATGCTCAATGTCCTCCAGCCAGGAAATGAAGCCGCCTCTATCTGACTTGCGGCAGCTTCTAATACACATTATGAGAAGCTCCCAGTGTGCAGTGATATCAGAGAAAGCCATTTCAGTCCAGGAGAGGAACCGGAACAAGGCCAAAGTTCACATTTAAATCTCATATAAGCATTAAAATGATCCCTGCAATTAAAGGAGAAGGCTTTTCCCCATATTTCTTCTTAGGGTCACAGGAGGACATAAACTAGTGTTCTCCCGTGACCCAAAGCTCAGTATACCGTGAGCTACAGCTACAGCTTCAGCAACGGTATGTGTTCGCTCACTTCCCGATCTACTGAGCCGACCTGGGACAGTTTCATTGACACAGGTCAGCTCAGATTATGAGGCTGAGTGGAAATCACTCACCCCATACTTCTCCTTTAAAGACTTTGTTCCGGCATCTTCTACTATAGAGTGACAACTGTCTCCCAGTTTTGTCCCTGTGTGGTCACCCTGTCACATGCGCCCCTAAGACCCAGTGATGATGTCACTGAGACTACGATAAGGTATGGAGATTACAAGGAGACGTGCTAACACACTTTGCCCGGGGATGATCCCCTATTGTCACTATCAGGAAGCTGGTCCACAGCAATGATGTGTAGCTAATGCTGGAGCAAGCGCATGTACCTACCTTGTCCCTCCCTCCCCCAACCGCTGGTGCTCTTCTCTTTTCTCCAACACTCCGGGTTGAGCGTCCACATTTACAATGCCAGTCCCGCATTGTAAGTGATGACATCAGAGTGTGAACAGCGGAGCGCCAAGGGGAAGTGGCTTAGAGGGACCGGTCAGGAAAGGAGGAAGCCTGAGGTAGTGAGGGCTAAGATATAACATACTGCATTTCAATGTACCCCAGGCATAAATGGGCATTTAACCCTTGCAGTGCGAGAGTAACGCCACTGCAAGGGTCATTTTGCATTTTTTTAAGGAAGCCAAATCTCATGTAAAATAAACCGGCACAAATCAACATTTCCAAATGATATTGTTATTGTCTTTTAAATGATATTTTATTGGATGACAGTCAATCAGCACAGATGTCATCAGAAGGTTTATGACAAGGGATGCACCGATACTTTTCGAGTACCAGTGCCAATACTTGGCATTTTCATGAGAACTCCCAGGGTTGCAGCTTGGACCCGGCTCTGGCGTTCCACCACTGTCCTGAAATCATTAGTCTGTATTGTTTTAGAAAATCTGTCACATGACAATAAACAAAAATGTATCAGTACTCGTACTTGCAACAATGGTATCGGTGAATCCCTTTATTAATATTTATAAAAACAAAATCATAAATTAAAACAGAGATGTACAAATCCCTGGAGCTCCGTGTGCTCCTTACCAATGACAGCTGCCTCCTAACTTTTGAATTTTTCTCTAGTCATGTCTTGGAGCTGGAAAAGTATCTGTACTTGTATGTGTACCGAGTACGGTACTTGATATCGGTGCATTCCTATTTATGAGCTTAACAAGGCAAAAAGAACATTGTCTGGAGTTAACATAATATGTCCAAGTTGCTGAATTAAAACGGAAATAAAAGTTATCTTCAAAGAGAACTTAAATGGGGTGTTTTGCCTATACCGCTGCCGGCTGAGCCTTGGGTGAGCTTGGGTATGCGAGGCGAGGATTGGAGAAGAAAGATGGTGAAGAAAGAGAGGTGAGTTGCATAGTTTAGCAGGGGTTTAATAATCGGTTAAAGGAAGTATGTGTGGAGGATTGGTGGAAACAAAATAAAATATTTGTTCGTCAATTAAAAACAAATGTTAAAAAAATTGAAAGGAAAATGTTAAGACTTAAAATGTAAAAATGTTAATCTACCTCAAATGACCCAAAGCCAAAGATCGCGCGGTCTCTCTAACTACCATAGGCATTGTGGCTGATTCGAGGTTCCACAGACAGACCTCTCAATCAAATCCCATGATACAAAATATTGCAAAAATAATTAACATTTGCATGTATTGCACATTTTTATTTATTGGGCTGCAAAACTTTAATAATTTGTAGAAGAAGAAGAAGAAGGAGAAAACTAAAAATAAATATAACTCACTCTTCACAAGAAGCAACTTCTGGTTTCTCTCGATAGGTCACGTAGGGCTGATAAATGGTGGAATGTATCAATGTGATGACACCGATGACAATGTCCCCGTCCTTCCAGAAGGACTCTATACTCTGCTTCTCCAGATGGCACCTGGATTGGGTGGATTCCTGGGCAACAGTAACCAGTGCTAAGAACACAAGGGCCTTCGACAAACTCATTGGGAGGTGAGAAACTTTGAAGGCAATGGTAAAACTCATGGATGGAGCTCAGAGAAGAAGACACAACATGGTGTGCCTCAATAAAATCGACCGTCCACCATTTATACACGGCTTACTGGACAACTTGGGATGGGCAATTTTTCAGGTATGTGACATCATAATTGAGATTCTTTTGACAAGCTAATTGCAAATTAATTATTTTGTAATGACTTCTATCCATTTCCTGTCCATGTGGATTAAGTACAATTCTAAAGGGAAGCCTCATAAGAGGGAAAGTCATTTTCTTCTAATCTTAGGTCCATTTACAGGCTCTCTTTGACCTCGGTGATGTAATTTTCATGTAGCACAAGTCTCAGAGGGGGTTGTTTCATGGGGATGTTGGGAGCTACGGAGGCTTGGAGCAATTTTTAAATTAAAAAAAACAAGAGATTAAAGATCTTTTGGGTGCAATTTGCAGCTGCGAGCGACAAGAACGGGCATGACATAGTAAATTATATTCTGCAGTCCTTGTTGGTTAACAATATCCTGTTGCAATTTTTAAGTAAAGACAAATAGGAATAATTTGAGTAAAGACAAAAAAGAAATTGTTCCTTTAATAGGAAAAAGAAAATAAGTGAAACATTTAAATAACTGGAAAATAATTGCAGCAAACTTTATCCATAGAGTACAGGAAAATGTGTGTTCCTTCTGCTCCTCAAAGTAGACATGAACTCAAAAACTGAAGATTTCCTATTTTATTGGGAAAAATCTAGACTTGGTAGATGTGCCTACAGTCAGGGCTGTCGCTTTGATGAGGCAGCCTGAGGCTATTGCCTCAAGCGGCATCTCTTTGGGTCATTTGGGGGGGGTGACAGGCAGAGTGGCATGACTGCTCTGCTGCACAATGTTTGCAGTGTGCCTGCCACCCCATTTCTGACCCAAGCATCCTAGGTTGCTAAGAGCCAGGCGGGGAGAGGTATAAGGTCCATACACATCTACTGTTCAGGTCTTAGCAACCTGGGACACTCTGGCCGGCATCCCGCCTGTCACTGTTTGCCAAGAGGTGGGAGGGGCGCCAAGCCAGGTGGAGAAGGCGGCTTGGCCAACACTATCCCCCGATCACCTCAAGCTGAGAAATGATAGGGACAACATTGCCTACAGTACCCTGAGTAAAATGTTTGTCTTGAATTCCTCCTGGAAATTAGCAGTGCACTTCCTAGTGTGCAAGTGTGTCTAGGCATGCTTGTGTCTACAACCTCATAGCTGTATATCTGCTGTATGAGGTCATCTAAGGCAATGCTGCTTCTGACTGCTAGTCTTAACAGATTTGGAGTAAGATTTGGTGATGTCACTGCTGTTCTGCTCATTGTTCTCCATGCTGGAGAGGACGCTGTACCTGAGGAGCTGCAGTGCTAAGCCCTCCATGCTTCTGCTTCATTCATTCTGAGGATCTGTGCTTCCTTCATCTCTATTACCCCACCAGTCATCAGAGCACCGGTCATCTGGGGGCAGCTCTGGCATGAGAAAAAAGCCCTGCCTTTACCAAGATGGCCACCTCCACATAGAGACACAGTGCAAAACAAGGCATGGCTAGTTAGTAAGCGGAAAACAATTAGCTGCATGCAGACCACAGGCAATACTGGTAACTAGTCCCTTTTCACTTGCTTGCCTTTGTTGGCCAAGGCTTCCATCAGCCGTCTTTTTGCTTCTAAACCTTCATCAGAACTTAAATGTCTAGAAATGGGACCTGGGATCTTATTTGTGCTCTAGTAAATTTCTCACCACTTTTTCTTTTTATATAACCATTGAAATAATCATATTTACAGCACGAAGACCCTCCCATGTAATGCTCAGAAAGTGCCTGAAAGGCATGTGTTGGTATCTACAGAGGAGGAACAGGTAAGAGTCTGTAATAATGTTTGCCCTCTAAATTTTCAAACAGCAGCGGCCGCCTGAGTTCCCGCACATTGGGGACCTTGGCAGCCTGCTGGGGACCTGGACATAGCTGTGCCTGTCCGATTCTTTATCTCCTCCTCCTCCTTCCCGGCGCAGGCACAGCCATGGACAGACCCGGGGCTGGAACTACCGCCCCAGGGCTAGAAGCTGGGGGTTCCCGCCGCACACTGACGGGGAGGACTGGGCCAGGAGATGGGTGAAAGACATGGGGCCCAGCAGCGCAGATAATCGGCCGGACTGGACGTGGCAGCATCAGCGGTCTGGACGTGGGGGAGGCCGGGTCCCAACATCGTAGGTGAGGAGCCACTGCAGATGTCCACGTCATCTGGGTTTTGCTTGACCTGGGTGAGATCGACACGCAGGCTGGTAAGAGGAATTCTGCTTTGGGGACATGTATTTGCAGAACACATGTTCCCAAAGCAGAGTACATGTCCCCAAAGCAGAATACTATTCTGCCTTTCTGCCTTAGGGACATGTGTTCTGCTGTGGGGACATGTGTTCTGCTGCGGGGACATGTGTTCTGCTGTGGTGACATGTATTTAGTTTTGGTGACATCCGTATTTAGCCCTGGTGAGAAACCGACCTAAAATCATCAGTCTGTGCTGTTTTAGTAAAAAATGTCACATGTCCCTTTAAGAAAAAGTATCGGTAATTGGTATCGGCAAGTACATGAGGGACAGTACTTGTACTTTTAATTGGTCTTTAAAAAAATGGTATCAGGACATCCCTACCACAAAGATAGGCCAACTTTTAATAAATGGTTTCCTTTATTTACCTGTATTATCATTGCATGTTTAGCTGTACAGTATGTATCAAGTACAAAAGATAAATAACAAGAATAAAACTTTAATTGAGGGTCAGCAGTCATTGAGGTTCTTTCTCATAAGAGCTTACAATCTACAAATTCAGGGAAGACATTCAATTTTTTCTGCCAACCTGATTCTTTGAAACTAAAAATTCTCGGGTGTTCATATGAGGTCTCAGAATGATAATATGACACTTAGGAGCAAAAATGCAGCAAATTAGGCCAAGGCTGGATGAGAGAATGGCAAAAATCTCTACAGCCACCATGTATTTGCCCCTGGTGCTCACATAGGCCGGGATGAAGGAGATCCAAACGCTTGTGAAGACCAACATGCTGAAGGTGATAAACTTGGTCTCGTTAAAGCCATCGGGGAGGTTTCTAGCCAAGAAAGCAACCAAAAGAGTCAAGATTGCCAAAAACCCCAAGAATCCCAGCATGATGTAGAAGAAGGTCATGGAGACGTCCTTGCACTCCACTGTTATGACACCTTTTGTAGCCTTTGTGTTCAGATCGGGAGATGATGGGTATGCGATCACCCATGAAGCACAAATGACAGTTTGGATACTCGATCCAGCACCGATCATGGAGTTGGGGATGGAAGAGCCAACCCATTTCCGAAGATTGCTATTCGGCTTGGTGGCATTGAAAGCAATCACTACCGTAATTGTTTTGGCAAAGATGCAAGACACGCAGAGAGAGAACGTGATCCCAAATATAGCTTGCCGGATTAGACAGGTGATGGTGGCAGGGCGACCGATGAACAAGAAGGAACAAAGGAAGCAGAAGAGGAGAGCCACTAGGAGAAGGTAGCTCAGGCTGCGGTTGTTGGCTTTCACCAGGGGAGTGTCACGGAAGCGAATAAAGATGAAGAGGACCGAAAGAGTAAGCAAGGAGCAGATGCTGGCGACACCGGAGAGGGCAAGGCCCAGAGGCTCCTTGTATGAGAGGAACTCAATCACCTTGGGGATACATTTCACACGCTTCTCATTGGACCACTGATCGTCTGGGCACTGCATACAATCTGTTGCATCTGATTAAAAAAAGGGGCATTACAATGTTATAAATACACAGTGTAACCAATGGTGCAGAAACAGGGGAAGCAGAAAAGTGAACACGGACTTGAGTGGTCCAGATCCACAATGTCTCTACCATAAACCACCACCTGGGGCGGGTTTTCTAGTAAATACTTTTATATGAAATTAATACCCCCCCCCCCCACACTTTCCCCCATAACAACTTCATTTTAATAAAATTAAAGGAGAACTATGGGGTTAGGGCTTTTCCCCATAGTTCTCCCAAGGGTAACGGGAGGACACAAACTAGTGTCCTCCCGTCACCCAAAACTCAGTATATAGGGAGCTCCAGCTCCCTATATACTGAGATGCCGCAGCCAGGACGGATCCCGCCTTTATTATCGAGATCCACCCAGCTGCGGGATTGACAGCTGGCTCTGCCTATCCAAAGGCAGAGCCAGCTGTACTCGCCCCTTCCCCCGTCCGTTCCGCCAGTCAGCGCTGGAGGATCGGACAGGGGAGGGGGGGAATCCCTGCAGGAAGCCGTGAGTGACAGTCACGGCTCTCTGCAGGGATAGATCGAGAAGTGAGCAAGCGACGGTATGTGTTCGCTCACTTCCCGATCTATTGAGCCGACCTGTGACAGTTTCATTGTCACGGGTCGGCTAGAACTATGAGGCTGAGTGAAAATCACTCACCTCATAATTCTCCTTTAAGTTAGTTTCCTGATTTTTTTATTAATATGTATTTTTATATTATTATTATTATTATTATTATTATTATTATTATTCAGAATTTATATAGCATCAACAGTTTGAAAAATAAGTAGTAGTGGTAATCTGTTATGACTATTAAAGTCTCTAATATATAATCTGCACTTTGATTTCTGAACCTTTGTTCATAGAATTATGCACGGCGTAGCATTTCATAGAACGGATGGGATCTGCCTCCATCTTGTGGTATGGAAGTAGTAAGCCGGCTTACAAGCCACTGATGAAGGCTATTACGTATATATTCAATATTTTATTGAATTTATTACATTTTGGGCTTTACATTATCTGAAAAGGGTTCAAATATTATATTAAACTGAATTATATTTTTGGTGCTGCTGTCAGTTTTGTCATCTGGCATATAAGGCCAAATGAATGTAAGCCGCTGATATGATGTAGACCTTTTTTTATTTATTTGTTCGTCTCTGCACTCCTTTTTTCCTTCTGTTGAAGTCTTGCTATTACCATGCATTGGAGCACAATTATGTCTCTCTGTCAAATGATAAAAGGGAGGAGCCTGTACTATAGGGTTGCCACCTTTTCTTCAAACGAAACCCGAGCATTCTATCAACAAGCGGACATTTTTTGGGAGAATGAGTCCTGGCTTATTCATATGTAAAATGTTTTCAGTGGGGGGGCCAGTAGCCTCTATCTTAATTTTGGTTGCCCCTGTCTGCCTGACATCTTGTGTCCGGGTTTCTGCTGCTATGAAACCCAGACACAGCATTCAAAACCTGGACTTTCCGAGTGAATCCTGGACAGGTGGCCACCCTACTGTACTATAGGGCGTCATTATACGTGCGTGCCCATGGTATCCTGGGATCCACATATACACCTGTATATATGATTTTCAGTATATGTATGTAAAATAAATTCAGTAAAATATAATATTAGGTGAATATGTGAGGAGCTGACCACATACCGGTCTCATTGGATATCTCTCCATCTGAGCATGGGATACAATCATAGCAGCAGAAAGGCTCGCCCTCCCGGGGTGCTTTCCGGAAACCAGGGAGGCAGCTGCCGCAGCACACTGAGGGCGGCACCTAGAAAAGATAAATCATACATAACATGCAATCCAAACACAAAAGATTTCTGGGAAAGTTAATCAAGACTCAAGTCCCGTTGAGCGCCATGCTGGCGCCATCTTTGTTTAGCGGAGTCTGCATCAGACTGGGGAAATAAAATAGTATTCTGTCTATGGTCAGCACAACGTACCAGAGAATGTTCATGAACAATGTGGAGGATGAAAATTACACAACTTCTGCTCTTTATTAAATATCTACTAACTAAAACAAAGAAAGACAGATGTGCTTATATATTATTTGCCTCTAAATATCAATCAAAGTGCTTTGATCAATTTGGAGATTGGGTCTGTCCATCCATCTGGTTGTCTGTGTCCAGGCTGGAGAAAGTGGGCAGGGAACTGATAAAGGCTTTATAAGCATTTGCAAGGAGGAAGTTGCTACTATGTATCAATTTCTTTTGGCCAATATCAACTAAAAGACACATTTTAAAATTCAGCTATGTTGCTGGCCATGCTTGTGTGGGTTTCCTCCAGGTACTTCCCAACTGCCTAAATATGGTGGTAGGTTAAGTGGCCATGTATGTATATAAAAATTGGCCGGTCTCAAACCCCTGTAAATGGGGAGGATTAAGGAAAGACCTGGAGGCCTACTCTGTAAAAAACTCACCAAGATCTATTTATGGAAAAGGCTGATATGGTGCCCAGAGAGCCGGTCCATAGAATCACTGAAGATCAGGTGCAACTGAACGGATGTCACACACATACAAATTGTTGGCCATCATTGGGCAAAGGAATCAGCACTCCATTCAAAGGAAATGTCCTGGTGCTCCACACAAAGCAAGTAAAGCAGCAACAGGTATTGTAGGGCTTCCATTGGTGAACAAGGAGGACCATATACTAGATTGCGCCACAATAAAGCTACCATACTGTCCTCCTTGTTCACCTATCACCTGTGGAAACCCTGCACCTGTAATACCTGTCTGTATACATATACATGCTGTATATATAGTAGAAAATGTATAGTAGGCACTCAAGAAAGGTTGACTGGGAAAGATGGACTGTGACATGTGACACCCTGATGCATCAGTGCAATAACTTTGTCCCTTTTGTTATTCTTTGGAAGTTCTTCAAGTGCGTAAATATACTTTTTTTGTAAATTATAGCACACTTTGCATTCCTGGTCCCACATAGACCAATACACAGTTTTAAGGCAGGACATATATAGAAACTTTTTGCGCAAAAGTGGACACACGTCACGGAGCTAACAGGAGGGTTGGCACTTTTCAAAGTCTGCTGTTTTGTGGTCACTTGACCACTAGCCCCTCCTGTACCTTTTCTCTTTCTCATAATGCCCACCCTTGAGCTGTGGTTTGAACCCACCAGTGTGCCCACCCCTCTCACCTTACAGAATAGCCACTCCCACCACAAGCCTCATGTCAGGTTTTTAGCTCACTGTAAGGACTGATTTCATGGCTTTTGAAGGAACTTATAATATAACTAAATGTTTTATATATCTTCCCCAATTTCTTAGGCTCAGTGAGCTTTATAATGCACAGAAATGATACCTGTGTGTATTTCTCTCCCCATATGATGGCTTTCTCATCTAGAACCAGCTTCTGCCCCTTGGGGCCCCAGTCATCGAAGATTCCAACCTTGACCAGACCTCCTTTCAGGTCGTGAGACATATGCCAGTTCAGAACATCGTAAAGCCCCTTCAGTTCTCCTTTCTCATCGAAAGCCACCCTCTCTCCATTGCTGTTTATGAACTGCACGTACTTAATGTAGTAGAAAAGCTTGGGAGAAAAGGTAAATAATACTTTAGACAGCGGCTGATAAGTTAAATGTTTAAATTTAACTGGAACTGCTGTTACTAAGGAGAAAACCTCCAAACAATAGTGAAGGTCTTCTTACCAGTAAAAGCACAATTTTGTTTCTTGAGAAATTTGGGTGTGCTGGCTTTCTCTGTGTTTCATCTAATGTGGTGCCAATGTGCCCTCATCCTGTTGAAATGGTAGATTGGGGGGGGAGCTAAACTTCAGCTCTCCAGCCGTGGTGAAACTTACAACATCTGCCTCTGGATGTCATGCCTGTGACTGTCAGAGCCCTAAAATGCCTATTGAGATTTGTAGTCTGACCACATCTGGAGGGCCGACATTTAGCTACCCCTGTGGTAGATGTTTCTGTGTGTCGTCTATGGCATGTTGTGTGGGATGAAAATAAATAGACTTTAAAGTGGACCTTTCGATCCTTGCATGACTTGACAAATTCCTGACATGTTACAATATACAGCAATAGTATTATTAAAGAAAAAGCTGTCCATGAGCTCTAGTCAGTGTCTTTGCATTTGAGATGATTCCATCAGCTAGCTGCAGGCAAGAGGAATTAAACATTTCCTCAATCTCCCCACCCCCAGTGATCATACTGCTGCAGGCAGGAGGAAGCATTTAATCAATCTCCCCTCCCCCAGTGATCAGTCTGCTGCAGGCAGGAGGAAGCATTTCATCAATCTCCCCTCCCCCAGTGATAAGTCTGCAGGCTGGAGGAAGCATGTCCTCAGTCTCCCCTCCCCCTGTGATCAGTCTGCTGCAGGCAAGAGGAAACATCCCCTTGTTCTCCCCTCCCCAAGTGATGAGATTGCAACAATTTTACTTTGTAGAAAGTCACAAGGTGAAAGGCTGCAACAGGGGCTACTGTGTCAGACATTTGTGAAGAAAGCCAGGAACTGCATGGGTACCAGCATTTATGTCATCTCTACACCTATATTTTAATGCAAGAAGAAGATGGTGACCATGCTTGATGCCTGAATGGGGACGGGTTGGAAGGGAGATTGAGTATGCTTGGAAGACGGGCTTTAAGGGAACAAACCTTTCATGGTGTACAGCATAAGGGAGATTACAACAGGCTGCAGGGTCAATGCTGACAGATTCATGGTCTTTGTTAATGACTTATGTACCTTTCTATGGTCACTAACTAACATGTGCACCATTCTTAAACTGTTGTGATGGAGTATTTCTACAGTTCATAGGTTATTGAATTTTATGTACCTGCCACGGTTGGAAGTTCTTGAAGTTGGCACAAGATCCATTCCAAAATGGTCCCCTTCCAGACTGGCATGACATCATATCATGTATGGCATGGGCCACGGCATACACAGCAGTGTAAACGGACACGGCCAGACGAAAGTTGGCTGTGTCATACACAGAGCTGTCCAGTCTCGTCAAGTCCTCCTTGCCGGTGCAGAAGGTTGTATTGACTCCGTAAGTCGAGGAATTTTCCCTCCACTTACATCTAAAGGCCTGCTCCCAGAATTCCCTAATAAATATATCGTTTGGATATTTGGCAGGATTTATACTGTACAGAAAGTCTCCAAAACCGGGAATATTAGCGCTGTACTTGGCAAGGCCGATGGTGCCGTTCAGCGTCGCCCACAGTTCCTTTTGCGTAAAGACGGCCGAGGGCAGCCAACTGCCGACGGCAATCCAGATTTTTCCAGCTATTTTGCTGTCAATGACGGCCTGAAAGAAAGCGATCAGCTCTGTGGCGTAAGCGTAGAGGACGATGACGTTGGTCTTTGTTTTGTGTATGGCGCTGATGAGGCTGTCCAGGCTTCCTTTTGTTGGCGGAGTCGATAAGGTTTTGGCAAAGGCAACGCAGATGCCATTCTTGGCCATTTCAGTCCTCAGTTTCTGGCTCCCTTGGTCTCCGTAGTCATTATTGGAGGACACTATGCCAACCCAAGACCAGTTGAAATGCTTGATCATCTCCACCACCGCGACAGGCTGCGAGTCTACAGTACCGACAGTCCGTACAAAAGAAGGGAATTGGATTTTGTCGGCCAGTGTTGGAAGGGCTGAGGCGTAGCTGATCTGCAAAAAGGAACATTAAGTGAAAGTTGTACAGTAGATGCTCCATTCTGAAGTTGGTTAAGCTGAAGGATATATGGCAGAGGTGCTTAGCTGACTGGGTGGTATACTCCTAGGCATGTGGCTATGCCATCTGCTGACCAGAATACAAAATGCAGAAGGGATATGTGTATATGGCATCATGTAGAAAGAAGCTGAACACTACCGGAGAACAATGGTTCCTCGGGGTGTCCCCTGTGGTGATTCGGCATGCCATTTTTTTGGTTAAAATTTTGGATACAATCTGACCTGTCTTATAGAGTTGCCTCCTTTTTGACCTATGTATGGCTCTGCTTGAACACCATTTACTCTGAGCTGTTCCTGTGCTTGTTTGCAAGCTATGCTCCTGTTTACCTTGGAACCCAGGTTTGTGGGGCAAATCTGAGGGCATCACACATAACTAAAACCCACGTAACCTTGTGCCTCCTCCTTGTGAAGACCTCATTAGAACTTTAAGGGATTGACTTACTAAAGGAGTAGAGACTGGTTAATAAAAAATGGGAAGCTGTGTTCACTTTGAATGCTCAATAATGTAAAAAGGGTAATTAAAAAAGAGCAGGACTGAATCATTTAAGTTGACCAAACTTCACCTATCACTTCACCTACCCAATTAAGATCAGTGAACATTCATTTTTTAAGGACAAGTCAACATTCTCCTCTCCTAAATCAACCCCAATGTCTCAAGACAGCCCATCATTTCTGGGGGTCACAGGGATGGCCTATACTACCTGGGACTGAACAGGGTTTGACCAGTTTAGGAAGAACTGTAAAGAACATCAGGACCCAACTTCTGCTTTTGTTAGCAAGTTGGATATTAAACGAGGAGACTTCTAAGCCTTATCATACAAAGGAACCCCCAATAAAAAGAGATTACATTGAAATATCTTTAAATATTTGTACATAGGCCTTTATATGGCCAATATTTTGCATAACACTGATTTTTCTGTTACCTGTGGAAACTTTATGAGCCCAAGTATGCGAGCGACAGCAATGGAGCCGGAGGACGGAGAGTCCCCCACCACCGCGGACAGTTTTGGAGGCGCTGACGCACAGCTGTAATTTGGCACTTTGGATTGTTTTCTGGACAGGTAAGACATGACGCTGTCCACAGCCGCGGCATCCGAGTAGCAGGAGTCATAAACCTCGTATCCCAAAGTGAGGTTCGGCATCAGTGTTGGGTTGGCGTTGATCTCGTTGATGGCAAATAACATTGCAAGAACGTACTGATATTTCTCGGTGTAAAACCTGTGAATTAATGGGGACGCCAAGAGTTCAGGTGTGCAATTCGGAAGGACAAAAAGCTCAGAGGTGTATGATATCATACAATTTAAAGGGCCACATCAAGCTCAACACATGTTCAGATCTGTAGGTTGAGCCCCATGTTGGCTTCTCTTCCCTACCCATGACTTCAATGGTGAGATACCCCAAACAAAATGTGAACGAAGGATTCTCCATATTATTGGCTTAAACAATTATTGGAGTCCAGATACAAGCGTGTGACAATTTGATGATGGTCAAGTGAATTAGTTACATTGTAACATAGTCAAAATCAGGAGAGACTCCTAGGGTGACAACACTGCTCCTCCATAGATACAGCACTGTGAATGAGTGTTGTCACCTTAAGACCGAAGCTAAAGTAAAGAACAGAATAAAAGAAAAGGAAAAAAGAATACAAATGCGCCACCACATCTAAGGACTGTTAAATTTTTTCTTTTGGCTTTAGATCAGCTTTAATGGCCAACATTTCTATTTTTGGACTTTTCAGCTATATGTCATTATTGAACTATTTGTAAGATTTTTAAAAACTGTTTCGTTATTATTCTAAACTGGAAATTATATCAAAATAAATAAATTGCTCACTTTTCGCAGGTTCTGAGTGGCGGCTTCGTCTTATATTTCAGCGTTTGTTTGACGGTCTTTTCATGTACAGGAATAAGTCCGCCGATAATGATTTGTCCGTCATGCAGGTAAGCAGGTAACTGCTGCTCGGAGTGCTGGCACTGGGACAAAGCCTGAGACATTTTCACCATTATTATTAGAGTGATCCATACAGCCGGGATCATTATAAGATGCAAATGTCTGAAAGGAAGGGAAAAAACCAATGAAATATAAATTCAAATTACAAACTGGGCCAGAACATGGTGTAAACATGATGGCATTGTTTTCTGTGACACTGTCTTATTCCACGAAAGTTACTCCTAGAAAATGACAAATTATGGCAACACATTTGGAAACATTATTTTTTTTCTTTTATTTAGGCTTTTATCATTCTGGTATTTTTATAAAAATTAAAAATACATTGTAACTCATATACTGTATAAAACAATGGCCTATTGTCAATGAACACATATTTATTTTACATAGGATATCATTGAAATGTTTGCATTTCCCATTACTTTCTGTCCGAGATGCACTACAATCTCCATACAAATTAGTAAACTAAACACAAACTAAACTAAACACAATCTTGAGGAGACCAATCAATTCACAGTCTGGAGATCGATCAACTCCCAATCTGGAGGAGATCGATCAACTCACCGTCTGGAGGAGATCGATCAATTCACAGTCTGGAGGAGATCGATCAATTCACAGTCTGGAGGAGATCGATCAATTCACAGTCTGGAGAAGATCGATCAGTTCACAGTCTGGAGGAGATCGATCAATTCACAGTCTGGAGGAGATCGGTCAATTCACAATCTGGAGGAGATTGATCAGTTCACAGTCTGGAGGAGATCGATCAATTCCCAGTCTGGAGAAGATCGATCAGTTCCCAGTCTGGAGAAGATCGATCAATTCACAGTCTGGAGGAGATCGGTCAATTCACAATCTGGAGGAGATTGATCAGTTCACAGTCTGGAGGAGATCGATCAATTCCCAGTCTGGAGAAGATCGATCAGTTCCCAGTCTGGAGAAGATCGATCAGTTCACAGTCTGGAGGAGATCGGTCAATTCACAATCTGGAGGAGATTGATCAGTTCACAGTCTGGAGGAGATCGATCAATTCCCAGTCTGGAGGAGATTGATCAGTTCACAGTCTGGAGGAGATTGATCAATTCACAGTCTGGAGGAGATTGATCAATTCACAGTCTGGAGGAGATCGATCAATTCACAGTCTGGAGGAGATCAATCAATTCACAATCTAGAGGAGATCGATCAATTAACAGTCTGGAGGAGATCGATCAGTTCACAGTCTGGAGGAGATCAATCAATTCGCAGTCTGGAGGAGATCGATCAGTTCACAGTCTGGAGGAGATCGATCAATTCCCAATCAAAAGGAGATAGATCAGTTCACAGTCTGGAGGAGATCGATCAATTCACAGTCTGGAGGAGATCGATCAGTTCACAGTCTGGAGGTATAAAGTAGTCACCGCTCCAAAAGGAGATCGATCAATTCACAGTCTGGAGGAGATCGATCAGTTCACAGTCTGGAGGAGATCGATCAGTTTACAGTCTGGAAGAGATCAATCAATTCCCAATCAAAAGGAGATCGATCAATTCCCAATCTGAAATGCTGAACAGGAGCAATTAGATGGATTGGGAGACAATGATTGGAGGGGCCCATTCACACGATAGCGCTGAGTTAATCACATGATACCCCACAAGTAGTACACGCAACCACAAACGTAGCGTGTTTGGCCTCATGCTGGGTGCGTTTCATTGCCATTTATTTGAAAGGCATCCAATGTACCTCCCTCCCGCCGTGTGCTGCAACACAGTGGGTGACTACGTCTGTTCCCCATGGTCCCTGTGTGTGTTATAAAGTAGTCACCGCTCCAAGCTCGCCCCATGGACTACAATCTCAGGTTTAGTTTCCTCATTTGTACTGAGATTGTAGTCCATCCCAGGGGGGGGGGAGCTTGGAGCGGTGACTACTTTACAACACACACAGGGACCATGGGGAACAAAAGTATCTCCCCTCTAGAAGGAAGGACAGTGCCAGCACCGATTCAGAGTTGATTGGAGGATCTACAGCCGAGTGATACACAAATAAGATACATTGCTGTTAATAGTTCAGGTACTTGAATGCATTTTTAAGATTTAACTCCTGAGTTTACTGTCACTTTGATGCGGTGTTGATTTATAGGCAATTTCTGGGTGTATATAGAGTATCTGTGTTTGTTACATTTACCTTGAGAAACAGGAATTCTCTGCCTCCAAAATGTTAATTGACTTATGCTTGCTCTTGTATTTGAACTTTTGCATATAGGACCTCAGGAAAGTGTTGAAAGTGTTTCTTTTATGGTGTGTTGGCCATTCCTGTACAAGCAATAAAAACCTGTCAAGGGATCTAATATATCCTCACTCTACGCAAAACCTAAAAGAGAAGTTTTAGCTTTACATATTTATTATCTGGCTGGCTATTATCAGGAAGAAAATAAAAATACACAATTGACACATTAATTCTTTTTCTTCAATTGACATACAAGAAATGATAATAAGAATAACTGACATACAAGAAATCTTTGAAACTTATGTGAAGGATAGAATTGCAAAGTTGTTTTACAATTCGTTATTAAGTATAATTTACAAATAAACTGAGAAAAGAATGTGAAACATAACAATCCGCATGTTATTATTAAATTATATTAAAGTATATAAGTATTAAAGTATTATTAAATACGCTGCAACCTAAAAAGCATTACATGTAAATACGCGGCACATGAAATCCACTAAAAGGAAACAAAGGCAGAAAAAGAAAATAGTATCGATTAGAAAAATAACATAAAATCCACAAAGTATTCCACCCATAAGAATAAGATCATCGTGTGTCCTTCTACCTTATCAGAACCTCACCAGTGAGTACTTGGGATTGTCTGTGGGCGGGATGACATGAAATGAAGGATGCTGCCCTCTCGTTGGCGCTTATATATTACTTACATTCCAAAAGGAATAAAAAGTAACAGTAATTGAAGGTTTTGTATCGTTGGGTCAGCTGCATGTTTAATGACTATAATCAGTGTAATAGGAGCTGTGGATAATGACAGTGTGAGATTGATGACGCAGTCCTGTCGCCGTGATAATTACTGGTGTCAGTCATGTCCCCGAGGAAACCACAGAGGAAGTCATTTCCCCAGGAAAGAAAGTTTATAACAAAATATATCATCAGCTGTTTCCATAGTAAGACATCATGTGATATATGTGAAATACAGAAAATCATATAAATCAAATGATACAAATTAGTTTACTTTTCTTTTTAAATACTAACACATTCATAACATTATCCTAATATCTGACCTCCGTCCTTCCCTTCAGTCTTATATCTGACCTCCGGCCTTCCCTTCAGTCTTATATCTGACCTCCGGCCTTCCCTTCAGTCTTATATCTGACCTCCGTCCTTCCCTTCGGTCTTAAATTTGACCTCCGTCCTTCCCTTCCGTCTTATATCTGACCTCCGTCCTCCACTTCGGTCTTATATCTGACCTCCGTCCTTCCCTTCCATCTTATATCTGACCTCCGTCCTTTCCTTCAGTCTTAAATCTGACCACTGTCCTTCTCTTCAGTCTTCTATCTGACCTCCGTCCTTTCCTTCAGTCTTCTATCTGACCTCCGTCCTTCCCTTCAGTCTTCTATCTGACCTCCGGCCTTCCCTTCAGTCTTCTATCTGACCTCCGGCCTTCCCTTCAGTCTTCTATCTGACCTCCGGCCTTCCCTTCAGTCTTCTATCTGACCTCCATCCTTCCCTTCAGTCTTGCACAGTTGTACCGGCTCTTCTCCTCTTCCTCTGATATCACTGCACACTTTGAGGTTACCACAATGTGCATTAGAAGCTGCAGCAAGTCTGACAGATTTGCCTCATTTCTTGGCTTGTGGACTTCCAGCATCACCTAATCCTTCCTCCCCAGCCTGACTGTGCCGGGCCTCGCCCCTTTCATTTATTGGGTTTCCTTTATTGCATTGCAGAGGCTCAGCTTGGCATGTGGGTGTTATCTGATGTGGGCTGTATGCAAATACAACCTGCCTAGGAACTCCCACTCCTCCAGACTGACCTCCATCGAGGCATTTTGTTTTATAGCAATATTTCCATCAGATATACTTGTTATAATGTATCTCTTTTGTATCTTTTATTCTTTGAAGCTCTGAGGTAGAGGTTATGTCTATCACCCCCGAAACGCGTTGGATTCTGGCTTACTTGATACCTTTACTTCACAATACAGCAGACATTTATCATTTAAAAATTCCCAATGATAATAAAAGTTTTTGTAGTGTTGCCTGTTGGAGAGATTTGTCTGACTTTCTGTCCTGGTGACACAACAGGAAGTGAGGGGAAATGTCCTCAGCTAGGTAAAGACAATCGTAAAAAAAAACAGACAAAGGCTCTCATAGGAGTTGTACTTCAGCTCTGGGGCAACTTTCAAACCTTCTATAACACTGGAGCAAAGCTCTTCAATGTGGCTCCCAATGTTTATTGATTGATTTATGGTTGTTACTTGTATCGGATTACATTGAGAAAGGACTCTGACACCAGAAATATTGTTCCACATGTGAAATAAGGATTGCCGTGCTTTGAAAACATGACGACCCAGATGGGACTTGAACCCACAATCCCCAGCTCCGGAGGCTGATGCCTTATCCATTAGGCCACTGGGCCACTCACACCTGGAACAGCACCTGCAATCTATTCGCAAATAGCTGCTCCATCTACCCAATGATTGATGCTGCTCCATCCATCCAGTCCTAGCACACAGCACAGCTCTGTCTGGCAGGGCAGTAGACCAGATTATTCTCTCTACAGTCCAGTAACACTTACAGGTCTTGTCCCTCCCCCAAGCTTCTTCACAACACTTCTTCAGTTCTAATGAGTATGAGGAATATAAACCAGCATATATACCCCCACCATACCAGGAGCATACCCCAACATTTATACCCCACCATATCCATACCAGGAACATACCGCACCATACCAGGAACATACCCCAGCATCTATACCCCCACCATACCAGGAGCATACCCCAACATTTATACCCCACCATACCAGAAACATACCCCAGTATTTATACCCCCACCATACCAGAATCATACCACAACATTTATACCCCCATCATACCAGGAATATACCCCAATATTTATATCCCCACCATACCAGGAACATTCCCCAGCATTTATACCCCCACCATACCAGGAACATTCCCCAGCATTTATACCCTCACCATACCAGGAACATACCACAACATTTATACCCCACCATGCCAGAAACATACCCCAACATGTATACCTCCACCATACCAGACATATACCCCAGCATTTATACTCCCCACCATACCATGAACATACCCCAGCATTTATACTCCCCACCAAACACATGTCCTATTTTGGTTTTTTGGGATGCGTGTGGGAAGTCCAGTGTCCACAACTAATTCACATTAAGAGAAACATTCGCAATAGGAAAACACCGTACTAACATTTGTTGCATCATTTGTTATTGAATAAGAAACAAATAAGGTCTCAAGGGACGGTCAGCTCCCATGTGACACAGTTAATTGGGCGCCTCGTACTTTACCCCATTCTCCTCTATATGTACGAACCGTCGGTAATTGCATTTATGTTTACATTACAATGAATTAATTTGAACACGGCAGGACTCCGACACGTTCCCCCCAGACGCGGCCTCCGTCTGTCTATAAATATTACAGAAAGGTTCAGCAAATTCCGCATCATGGATACCATTGTATCAGCGTGAGTTCCGTGGCACCGGAATAGTCTGAAGACTTTTACATTACAGATTGGATCACATGGTACGTTGCTGGTAGGGGGTAGTAATCAGAGAAATCCACAATTGTCACTTCACTGAAATTTCAGCAAAATTTTATTTTTATCTGTTGTGTTTTTATGTTTGTTTTAGAAACTTGATTATGTGAAAATATTTCTATTCCTAAAATTTAATAAAAAATGGGCAATAATTTCAGCATGCAGAAAGCATTAAGAAAAATTCCCGCCAGACACCAAATTTTATGTAAATGATGTATCCGTCCTTTCCCTCTTTACATTTAAAATGGTAGATTTTTTTTATTGTTCTATGCATGGTAAAATAAGCAGTTTACATTGCCCATATTTACTGCACCTCCCTTTCCCTTATAGAGAAAAGAAAAGTTAGGCATACACCAGTTAGTCCTTTTATTCCTGATAAAACCTGTCTGTTGGGAGCACGTCAAATGCTTTTATGACTGTGGGAACCTCACAGCTCCATCTGGTGGTTGCCTCTTATCACCGCACCTACTCCAGTCTAGTTAGCCATGGGCTGGTCAGGCTCATGAACTTGGTTTCATGAGCCTCACAGCCTGGGGGTTGGTTAGTGGTGCTTTATTTATGCATCACACATCATTGACCAAGTATAGCCATATGGCCATATGAAGTAAACAACATCATGGCATCCTACCACCCTGGATTCATGTAGGCGCAGGCGGGAAAATTCCTAGGCCACAGCTGATTGGGCAGCAGCGAAAGGAGTTGCCTGTAGGGGAGCTCCTTCTGTCTTTGGAGGAGGTCAGGTTTGCACTGAGATGTCAGCTAAAAGATGTCACAATCATGTAAATCCTGGCCCCTGTGCTTGACTGTGTTCATAAATTTCTAATGCTGATCAGCCCCTGCTGCAGCCTCCCGCTTTGTAACTTGCTATCAAGTGGCAGCGCAGACTGAGGAATCGCTTTTTCCTGCCTGGAGCCGACTGATCACTGGGGGAGGGGAGACTGAGGAAATGTTTCGTCTGATCACAAGGTGAGGGAGTCTGGGGGAAATGCTTCCTCCTGCCTGCAGCAGACTTATCACTGGGAGAGGGGAGACTGTGGAAATGCTTCTTCCTGCCTGCAACAGACTGATCACTGGGGGAGGGAAGACTGAGGAAATGCTTCCTCCTGCCTGCAGCAGTCTGATCACAGGGTGAGGGAGTCCGGGGAAATGCTTCCTCCTGCCTGCAGCATACTGATGACATCATCTCAACCTAGGCAAAGTCACTGATTGAAGATGAAGGATGGCTCTTTTTAATAATAAAAGGTGTGGCTTTTCTTGATACTACTGGTGTATATTGTGTCAGGAATGTCAGCAGTTAAGTTATTGTATACAATAGAATTAAATTCCAGGCTATAGCTGATTTTATACAATGTGATGTGTGGTTTTTTTGTGTGTGACGGATTTGTGTGTTATTTGTAACTTTGTATCTATGTGAAGAATTTTCCTTTCAATGAACACATTGTTTCCATGTCGTGTTACATCATTTCACTCTCACAGTTTCTCTGTTACAGATGAAAGTTGATCCATCTTATTTCAGCTCCAACCAAAGCACCGTCCCGGAATTCATCTTGTCCAGCATATCTTCCATCTATGAGGTCCGACTGCTCCTGTTTATCACATTTACTGTTGTCTACATCATCACCGTCTTCGGCAATGGGGTCATCGTATTGGTCATACAGTTGAATGCTCGCCTGCAGACACCTATGTATTTTTTCCTGACCCACCTTTCCTTTCTGGACATCTGTTACTCCTCGGTCACCGTCCCTAAATTGCTGGATATCCTCCTCGCCGACAACAGGCGAATGCCATTTGTCGGCTGCATTTTGCAGATGTATCTCTTCCACGTCCTGGCGAGCTCGGAGATGTTTCTTCTCACCGCCATGGCATACGATCGATATGTGGCGATATGCGACCCTTTACGTTATGCGGTCCTGATGAGGAGAGCGGTGAGCTTGCCGCTTGGCGCCTGTGCCTGGCTGGGCGGGTTCGTCCATTCTACGTTTCACACCGCCTTCATTTTGCGACTCTCCTTTTGCGGACCGAACCAAATGGACAATATCTTCTGTGACGCCACCCCGCTGATTAAATTGTCGTGTTCGGACGCGACGCTTGACGAGATCATGCTGACCGTGACGCCGGGAATTCTGGGTCCCTCTTGCTTTATGGTTGTTCTCCTGTCTTATGGTTACATCATAAGAAACATCTTGAAAATGAAAACCAGGGAAGGACGGAGTAAGACCTTTTCCACGTGTGCCTCACATCTAATAGTGGTTTCCATATTCTACGGCACGGGTATTATTGTCTATCTGCAGCCCATGTCTGTCTACTCGTCCGCCAATCGCTTCATTACGGTTTTCTACGCCGTCATCACGCCCATGTTAAATCCTATCATCTATACATTGAGGAACAAGGACGTCAAAGGGGCAGTTCAGAAGATGCTGCTCCAGCAGAACATTGCACAGAAAAGTAACATTGTGACGGTTTCATGATATGGGTGGAATTTTAAATCTTACAGCTTTATTGAATCAAGAAATGGTGGTAGGGGTGTAACCAGGGCCGGATTTCCCACAAGGCCAACCAAGGCCCGGCCTTGGGGCAGCAGGGGTGAGGAATTCATGTACCCCAACACCCAGGACATGCAGTTCCAGGCACTGGGCGGGTAGTTGTTTTCTACATTTAGCCCTGATTTAGGCAAGCAGGGCCAAATGTACAGCGGGGAAGCCGCCACTTGTTTCGTACAAGTGATCTTGGCGATGTCACAGAGATCACTTGTATGCAGCCTGCAGGTCCC